TATATTATATATATATATATATATATATATATATACATATTTTTATGTGCTTGTGGAGTCATATGTATATGCATATATGTTCTATTTTGAAGGCTATACATACACATATGCTGGTAAACTTTTGTATGATTTTATAGTTGGTGTTAGAGAGTAACAGGTGTTATACCCAAAACAGCAACGTTCAAGACCGGTCCGTGTGTGTTCGACAAGATGTGCGAGGACATATTCAAAGACACAAAACAATTGCACGTAAAATAAATGTCTAATAATAAATAAATAAAACAAAAACCAACCACTAAATTGGACTTACGCCTCTCAGTGCCTCCACCTCGAAATTAAAGAAAGTGTCAGAATCGGGAATCCCAATAAAATGTGTCGGAAACATTTTGGTGTAAAGATGTGTATTTACATAGGTCCTATAAAAAGACAGGAGACTATATGTAGTATTTCACTCATTTCGTCGTAGTATTTTGTATCTCTTAACCAAGAAGGGTTGGGCTGTTGGGCATTCATGCCTTTTTAAAAACGGGTCGGAAAATTTTAAACATTGCATGTATGTAATTTTATTTTATTCTGATGTTCAACATGTCGGAGACTAGTTCAGCATTTTTTTTTACACCACACTCGACAAGTCGCCATTTGTGATCTTCTATCTGATTGGGCCGCCTTATCACTTTCTGACATACTTTATTCTGATATCAGTTGCCATTTGCGAAGAACTGGTCTGGACTCTGGAGTCTCTGGACTCCTCTTGGCACTGTAGAGTGTATGTACGCAAATGACGTACGTAAATGGCTGCGCCTTGACGCAATATTTATATATATACAATTTACTGAATGAGTCATGGGCCATGGCCTTGCCTTTTCTGTATATAAAAGCAATGGACGTTCGTATCAGACACTCATATCTTCATCAGACCAACACAAAAAAATAAGAGACAACAAGCATCGTCATAATGTTCAGCTTATTCAAAACTAAATTAACTACGACTACTACATCGACTCCCGAAAATAATGTGGTCATCCAGCAGCAGCAAAACTGCATCCCTCAAAAACAGCGACAAAGTATAACATCGAAAGTGCTGACCACCAAGCCGCCGCAAGTTGACGTACCCGTTGATCGAGAAATCAATCCCAAACTCTCTCTGATTGCGATGGTCATAGACCGATCCGGCAGTATGTCAAGTATGGGATGTGAGGTAGAAGGTGGATGCAACGCTTACCTGACCGAACAACGAGCGACAGACAAAGCTGATGGGATCGAAACATCAGTTATCTTCACCACGTTTGATAGCGCGATCGAGGTGATTCACGACGGGGTCAGCCTTCCGTGCGTACCCAAGGTCACTCGCGAGCAAGTGGAGCCACGAGGTTGCACGGCCTTGTATGATGGTATTGGTGACACACTTCTGAGCACGGCAGAACACTTGCGCAATCAGAAAACGATGCCTGGGAAAGTGGTAATTTTCATTCTCACCGACGGGCACGAGAATTCATCGCGCACATGGGACGCCGATAGCATCACAGCTGAGATCAAGCGGTTGTCCGTGGCTCCTTTCAACTTTGATTTCTACTTCGCAGCTGCCAACCAGGACGCGCTGGACAAAGGTGCGAGCATGGGTATACCAACTGCACAATGTCTGGACTATGACGCCACACCAAATGGCATGAAGCAGGCCATGGCCACTGCTTCCGCTGCTTATACGCGAGGCAAACGAGGACAAAGTAAGGGCTTCAGCAGTCAGGAACGAACTCAGGCGAGCTCCAAGTTCTCACATTAACGAGCATGTATAAGAAAAAAGCATACACAAGGGACAACATCTGTTCCGATAGTTTCGAAACTACCTAATCATGTATCCACCCATCACAAAGGTATTGATTTGGTTCACATCTTTAAGTTGTGAAATATGTACAAAAACTGTCAGGCCAACCATGCCAATTGTAAAAAAAGTACGTGAAATATTTATATGTTAATATAATAGCAATGTTTCCATATTAAAAATAACAAACGACAACAAAAGCCACTGACAGGTTAAAGGTGTATATCACCGTTCAAGTATGTATTATTAATAAAGGAAAGTCATATTAGCTACATACAATGACTGTGTATGGCACTTTGCACTATAGTACGATCTCTTCGAAATTAATTATAGACACCTAAGATAGACTGAAAATCGTTGTTGAACATGATTTTACATCTTCATTCTATTACATTTCTCCATGAATCTGACTCTTCCGCAAAGTATATTTTGCCTGGTCCAAAGAGCATTCAGATATCGAATTTTCAATTCGACGTTAGGATGATTTCAGCGAGGAACAATAAATGGTAAACCTTGGCAAGAGCGGTTCATCAGAGTCTATCGCAAATAGTTGTATACTATATACAGAGAATATTAAAAACTTGGAAGTAATGTAAAAAGGGGTTGCACACACTTGCAAAGTCACTCTTTTTGATTCCTCTTAGGTCGCGTTATATTGATGTAGGGCCAACAAAAGCCCCAACAACCGTCCAGAATAATCAACAGATACTGTTAACATAACAGAATATTTACTGAGCACTATGTGGCATATTTACGAAACTATTGAGATTGTTCATTCAGAAGGCTTTATACACGCATGTTACTGTACTAGTTTTTTAATATACGTTTAAAAAAAAACAATCGAAAGTGGGCCAAAACCCGAAACTTAACAAGGAAGCAAATCATTGAAATCATATATAGCCCCCAAAATTCAACAGTTTTGTTAAAATTTTAATGTCCAAATATTCTTCCGTCAGTCGGTCACTGCGGGCAGATAGAGAGAGAGAGAGCCTACAGCCCTACAAGGCATACGTAATTACATACTACTCGAGAGAGTCACATTGTCACAGTGACAACTGACAGTCTGACACAGTCTCTCTCAGTCGCGAGAGAGTAAATAAATATGTTACTATTTTTTATGTAGAGAGAGCTATGTAGACTATATACTATATAAAGCTATGTAGACTATATACTATATTTTGTTTTCTTAAACATTTTACAGTCTTCACCATATTTTGGTTTAAAAAAAACCCCCAAAAACACTGACCGACGACTAAACACTACAGACTATTCAGTCAACAGTGTCCTAAAAAATATGTACAGCATATGTATGTCCTTCGTACAACAGTCCGATCAGGCATATTTTTCTTCTTCTTCTACTCTAGAGAGTCTGAGAGGGTTCATGCATACTTTCAATTTTTTAGCTTTATACAAATAGCAATTCTTGAATAAAAAGTAAAAAATGAAGACACCTGTGACAAATGTACGCTAAATATTAAATATTTACATACTGGCCAGTGGCGTCTGTCTGGCTAATGTTGAATAGGAGCGGACCGGGACAACATTAAAATGATCAAATATTGGACGGAGGAACCCGGGGATTTTAGTTTTTTACTATAGAGTATAGACTATAGAGGACTAGAGGACGACCCTTGACCAGACATACATTAATGAATCTATTTCATTGGCAGTTCGATGACTGCCACTTTGTAGACGCACGGATGTACTATGTAGGCATCCTCATTCCTCCGTCATTGTTTTTAAATAAACCAAAATACCAAAAGTTCCGCATGAAAAGTAAAAAAACTCTATGTACGCCTAAATGAAGCCATTGAAAAATAGCAAAAATAAATAAATCTATACAAAGTCCGGATCTTGACTCCTGAGTCTAGTCTAGACTCTATAAGGCCGCTTACCGGCTATAACCACTATCTGTGCACCTATTTTCTATGTACAAACGCTAAATATTTACATACTGGTGTCTGTCTGGCTCCTTTTGTATTGGGTTGCTTTAAAAAAACCCCCAAAAACTCCAAAAAAAACAATCTATATAAATAAAAGTCCCGAATAGAAAACCATAAATAAGCTCCAAACAATCCATATACATGAAGTCCCAAATAAAAAAACCAAATAAAAACAATCTATATAAATAATGTCCCGAATCTTGACTCCTGAGTCTATGGCCGCCCAACGGCTAACCACTATAGAGTATAGTCTAAACTTAATATTCGTTATCTGTTGCAACTTGCAATTTGAAAAAAAAAGGTATTTAGAATCCGTTAAAAAAACGATAAATGTTGAACATATTTATGGTTTCAGGCCAGAATTGGGTCTCAATAAGCAACTAAAAGCCAATATGAAGCCAATATGAATCCAATTTCTAAAATATACTCTAAATTCACCCAAAGCATAAGTTTTGAATTTTGAACTCGGATCTTTGTCAATATTTTATGTATATTTTTGAGTGTGGCAGACCAAAACAGACCCATATATGTCGAAAATACACCTGAAGTTAAAAGTCACAAATGCACTCGGAGTTCCAAAAACCAGGGGGGGGGGGGGGTTAAAGCAAAGTAGCACATCCGAACCGCCTAATATGGGTGTGTGGTTTAGAAGGATATGCTATTATAAGTACATAATAGCTTTTTAGAATATTTTAATGTTCAATTTGTTATTTTTACCGCATTTCGTGGCCAAAAAAGTATAGATATCACTGTAGGCATGTTAGAGAATTTTCTGGGGGGGCCAGATTCAAGAAAAAAAATCCATGAACGTTTAATTCAACCATGCATAACGTTATGAGGGACCTGAGCCAGATCTGAATCACTCTGAGGATGGTACAAAAAATAAATACAGTTTTTTTAAAAAACAAGCCAGAATTATTAGATGACATGCATTATTTTTTCCTAGTTTTTTTTATAAAAACCTCGAGTTTTTACATCGAGAGGACCGGGGCTGTCTTTTTGCCCAGTGAAAATGTATGTGGTTTATAAAACTGGACAAATATGTTATACTATCCAATAGAGTCGCGATGAAAAACTGCGGTTTCGAATGTAGCTAATAAAAACACGAAGGCTTTTAAAATGAGTAGATTTCCATAGCTTTCTTCTAAAAATATAGATTTTAGCTGTGTACAATATACCTTTGATGGTCTGGTTTTTGAAAATACGTGAAGTTCCTGTCATAAGGCTATGTATGAAGATTGAAGGTCCGATTGGTTTGATTGGCTGAATATAAAACAGAATATCTGAAGAATGTGAATGGAAAAATAGCCAAAGCTTTATTTTGCGGAAACTGTTTAATTTCGAAGGCTATGGGAAAACATTTGAAGGTAAATATTTATCTACAGTTGTACTTCAGTCTTTACTCTTTTGGTCTTTAAAAAAAAAGATTTAAAAAAATAATAATAATACATGTCTTATATCAGTGACCTCATATCTTAAAAGTATTTTTTAATAGATTTAGAATACGTCGGAAAAATTTGTATGTATTTATATTTAATTGTTTATCAAGAGTTGAAGGGAGGTTGGGCTTTTCGCCTTTCAAACGGGTCGGAAAATTTTGAAATCAAATAAATTCACTGCCTTCTTCTATAATTTTTAAATAGACATTAATTTAAAATATTAATTAAACATAACAAGCATGTCGGAAAGCAGTTCAGTATTTTTTTTTACAACTGGCCACTGTGATCTTTTTGAAACTGATTGGGCCGCTTTATCGATTGCATCTGGCGTTCTTTTCAATCTGACTCGAATATTTCGCAAGGAATTAGCAGTCTGCAGTCTGGTAATAACTGGTTAGCCTCTGGCCTCTCTGGCCTCTGCTTACACAAATTTCAACAATACATAAAAAAACTAACGACAACGTACGCAAATCGCTTCGACCCGGGAGGACCTTGGCTGCGCATACATAACACCCTTTGAACATGCGCGCAATAGAAAAAAAAAAAATCCATTGAATATGTCATGAGCCATGGCCTTCTTTGTGTATAAAAGCAAATACAATACGTTCACTGAAACCCATACCTTTATCAGACCAAGTGACAACAGGCATCTTCACAATGTTCAACTTAATGCACAAAAGAAAATTGGATACGACTTCTACATCGATTACCGAAAACAATGTGGCCATCCAACAGCTGCAAAATGACATTCGTAAAAAACAGCGACTGAGTATTGCAAGGAACATGCGGAGGACCACCAAGCCGCCGCAAGTTGATGTTCCCGTTGATCGAGAAATCGATCCTAAACTCTCTTTGATTGCGATGGTCATAGACCGATCCTACAGTATGTCAAGCATGGGAAGTGAGGTAGAAGGTGGATGTAACGCGTACCTGGACGAACAACGAGCGACAGACAAAGCTGATGGGATCGAAACATCAGTTATCTTCACCACGTTTGATGACAAGATCGAGGTGATTCACGACGGGGTCAGCCTTTCGTCCGTACCCAAGGTTACCCGCGAGCAAGTGGAGCCACGAGGTTCCACGGCCTTGTATGATGGTATTGGTGACACACTTCTGCGCACGGCACAACACTTGCGCAATCAGAAAACTATGCCTGGGAAAGTGGTAGTTTTCATTCTCACCGACGGGCACGAGAATAGATCTCGCACATGGGGCGCCGCTAGCGTCACAGCTGAGATCAAGCGGTTGTCCGTGGCTCCTTTCAACTTTGATTTCTACTTCGCAGCTGCCAACCAGGACGCGCTGGACAAAGGTGCGAGCATGGGTATACCAACTGCACAATGCCTGGACTATGACCCTACACCAGGCGGTATCAAGCAGGCCATGTACTCGTCTTCAGTCGCTTACACGCGAAGCAAGCGAGGACAAAGCAAGGGCTTCAGCTATCAGGAACGATGTTTATCGAGTATGAACTATTCACATTGATGAGCATGCATGAGAAAAAGCACGCACAAGGATCGTCGACATCTGTTCCGATAGTTCAGTAAACCACTAAAGCGTTGATCTGGTTCACACTTTAGCAATGAATTATGAACAGAAAATGTCAGGTCAACCATGCGGTCAACCACGCCAGTGGTAAGAAAAGTACGTGAGATAGTCATATCTTGAAATAGTAGGACAAAACCACCTTGAGGAAAAACTAGCATAGATAAAAAGTGTAAATCACCTTGCTGGATATTGGTTATATTGATAGAAGAATACCATATACGCCACATACAATGGTTGTACTTTTCATTCTACACTATAGTACAATTTCTTCGAAACCGATTAAATACACTTAAAAGATTGACAGAAATTCGATATTGGAGTTGATTTTACATTTTCATTGTTACACTCCTTCATAAATATGTTTCCCTTCCGCGAAGTATAATTTCCGTCCAAAAGAATTTTCAGATATCAGACTTTCAATCCGAACGTATTGGGATTACAGAGGAAGAATAAATGGCAAACCTTGGCAAGAGCGGTTCATCAAAGTCCATCACACAATACGACCCTCATAGATCACATACCGCCTATGAGTTGCATCGAAAAACTGCTATTCCATACCCAAAATTAGCCTCACCTTGCTTTGCAATCATGGAACAATACAAATTAGTTTTGATATAAAACAGAGAACTCTTGGGCAAGTCGGCATGCTAAATTAAGCCAACCAATTGACCCTGTTTTACTGCTCTGTGACACCTGTATTAAACTTTCCCGACATTTGACAAACAATCGTATATTCCTTTTCAAATGTTCGCCGTATTAATGTGCTCCTCGAATTGCTTTTCTCACTTTTACATTCAATTCCTCCAAAAATATTCTGCAGTTTTTTCGCCGTCTACAGGATGACACAGCACGTGCCAGTTTTATTAGTCACATATCCCGCTGCACACATGAACGAGCGCCAAAAATTCTTGCACGCAGCATGGATGCACTACTGAGCCCACTTGTCAACTCCACTAACGCAGACATCCTCCAATCTACCGCGGATTGTCTCCAGAAGGCTTACCAAGCAAAGCACGATAAAAACCTCTTCAATACTAAAGCTGTCACTAATTTCAAACTACATTTTATCCCTGCCGCTCAAAGACTTCACGAGATATTTCTATGTTGAGTAGTCAGATTAACTCATGATACGGTGCCACTCGAATCCTCTGGCGCCATACTATCACAATCCGATTTTCTTAATCTCTGAATTCAAGTTCTCGTCATTGGTTGCCACCATCACATAAACCTTCTCATATCCAGATGAGGAAAAAACGTACGGCAGGTATAGTGTGCCGTGCTCACTCACATAACTCGGCAGCACACTCGAGTAAAGCGTGCGTACCACCCCATGTCAGAGTGCTTTGTAAAATAAGTCTCTATGAAAGCATCAAGTATGTGCATACACTGAGGATGAATCGGCGGAGCCACCAGCAAACAACATCTCCTCCCAGAGCAAGTAGAGAACTGCCAAAGATCGTCGGTGAATCCAATCACAATGCGAATTGGCGACCAGTAGGCGTAATTTGTTCTAGTCATTGCAGAACAGCTAGTACAATGAAGCAGCGAGTTATACAAGGCATCGTACAGACTCGTACCGAACTCCTCCTCAGTTAATAGTAAGTACTCTGGGTGTAGCGTGAGCTGGAATAGAAAGTGAACAGCCCATCAAACGGGATAATTGCCACCTTCTCCTGGCACATATTCCGGCCGCATCGAGTACATTAGAACACGTGGTCGCACGTGCTACATACTGATTCCGCGACATATCTTATAAAAAAAAAGTCTCAGATAGAGCGCTTGGGGGGTTCACCTCGGCAAGCCTGGATTCTGCCATTCCGGACCGGAGAGATCGAGACCGTCGATGATAGCATCGAAGTTAATCGATTTTAGGTAATCAATTCTGTAGAGGTACAGCAACTTACCCCCTACATGTCAAGATCGGACAATGGTAAGAACACGTACTAAACCAGCATGTGTCACCGAGATAGGTTCAGTTTAGTACCCTACTTTAGTTCAGTCTATGCTATTATATTGAGTTTTGATTCCACGATGGAAGAAGAATATGACATCTGATAGTGGGGGAGTGGTGAGGAAGTCTTGTCCGTTAAGCCGAGATCTCGTGATATATACAGTGGACCTTGCATACGATGCCAAAAAGGTTTCGCCAAACAACGAAACGTTTCTGAAGTCATGGCCCTCCATATATTCAATATGCCATGCATGATAGGAGCTCGGGACTATTGCACACTTCTTGACACCGAGACTCACTCGATGAGAAAAAAAACCTCAAACCATGATAAAACGGCAACCGGTCAACTCCGCTGCGGTTAACACGGGCCTGTGCGCAGAATACATAGATAACTACCAACAATAACAACGCACTCCAAATACACTTATCCGGTACGTGACTTACATTTGCCCTCATCGAATTCCATCTCCATCTCCCTGAGATTGAATGGCTCCTCCTTGAGATTAATGTTGTAAATCCACCCGGCCGGGACATCGTAGTTACGGGTGAATGTATCGCCGTACGATGTTGTCAGCAACCATTTGGCATCGCTATTGGCAAAGTTCTGCAAAACTGCAACGTGAACCGATGGAGGCAAATCAGTATCAGCAAGCCCCAGTTCTAGCAGACGGAATACAAACTTATCTAGCACTCACATAGGACAGTGCCTTACAAGAGTGTTATCTAGCACACACACAGTACAGTACTTTACAAGAGTGTCATCCAGCACACACATAGGACAGTGCCTTACAAGAGTGTTGTTTAGCACACACACAGAACAGTGCTTTACAAGAGTGTTATCCAGCACACACATAGGACAGTGTTTTACAAGAGTGTTATCTAGCACACAC